TTGTGCCGTGAATAGCAATTAAGCTACAACAAGAAACCGTGGAGGGTAATTGATATGTAACAAAGATAAGCCACTAAAAGAGCGGAAATCATCGTTGTTCGTTAATAAAAGTATTTTCAATTCCCTTTCACCGGATTTTATCTCGAATCTGACTGGCTTTTCCATGGACAATGCCGACTATACGTGAACGCAACTGCGTGAGACTTAATGGATATTTTATTCGGTTTCGCGAATTATTGCCTGTCAAATTAACTACACCGAGTGCTACCGCGTGCAATTAGAAACGGTGCTCGCGATTTCACGCAAATTTCCTGAGAATAACATTGCGAAACGTAACGGGATTTCAGCAGTTTTCGAATTTTCCCTCTTTTTCGAATTCCAATTAGACACGATTCGCGCAGGAAGAAAATACGAAATTCTTTATTCCTAGGGGAATAAAATATTTCTATTCTTCTATTTATATTTTTCCTATTCTAATATATCTATTTTTGTCTCAAATTAATTCTCACTATTCTAAAATTATTCCTGATTTATCCACTGCCATATTTAGCCACGTATTACAACTTCAATATTGTATATTTCTCCATCTCCATGCAAAATGAAATTCCCAATTATCGGAAAATCCCTATCATCCCACCGAGGTGTAAGAAACGAATAAAATATCGAAATAAAATTCTTCACAATTGCGCATAGAGAATTTTCGAGTCAATACGCGTAAAACCGCCATCGTTTACAGCCTCTGTATATCTTCTTAGAATCAATTCAAACGCGAATTAGAAACCAGAAGATTTCGAAGGAAATTCCCGGAAAATTACGCGATAAAAACGGAATCCGTGCAGAGATAACTCGTTTGCGCAAAATCGCATCTTTCTCTCCCCTCCAGCCCATAAATAAATTCGCCATACTGTAACAAATTTGTCGATATTCAAATTTCTCGCCTAATTGTACCTCGAAGAAAGCATACGCTTAAATATTTCATTTTTATTGCATTTTATTTTACGTCGCACCGATTTTTATTGCGAACGACGTTCATCTTTTTTCTCTTCTTTCGCCGCCTCCCGGGACGTACTTACATGACTCATTCCGTACTTGACTCAAGTAAAACGTTCGCGTGTTGTCGATTACGTAAAGGAATATCTTGCAGAGGAATCGGGATGACGGAGAACCGTGGCGGAGAGGAGAGGAGCGTGCAAGACAGGGAACATAGTAATTAGAGGCACGCTCTCGGTGTATAACGAAGGAGCAGAGCGAAGAACTGGTTCTACCGTTAACGGAAATCGTCTCCTGGCCAGATTCACAGCCGCAGCTTCTTTCTCCGTCTCCGCGACAATTGCCCTTTACGGTACTTCCGCTTTTGTAACGCGGCCGCCCTGAACAGGAACTCGGTCAACTCGATTCGACAACCGTTTTCGCCTTCCATTCTCGCTTTTTAGAGACCCTTTTCGAGACCCCGAGACTCTCGATTTTCTTATCTTGCTCGATGAATCCCGACCTGGTCTGGTTCACGCGTCTCATCTTCACGGAGATTCGCTTGGAAAAGATTTCGTGGATTGTCTTCGCGTTCGAAGAGGTCAGGAATCTTCCGCTTCCTCGTAAAATTTGCTCTAATTTGGAACTGTATTTTGGAACAGACTCGAGTTATTATTTTATTTATGAAACGAATTGGAATCCTTTGAGCTTCTTTTAAGATAAGACTCTTTTACAGAGATTCGAAATATAATGTATCTAAGACATAGAAGGTAATTTAATTGTTTTTAAATTTGTCATTTTGGGATCGTCAAATCACCTGTATGTCCAATTTCCTAACCTGGTACGACGCCATGCTTATCCCTAAAAGCGTTCCTTTAAAAAGATTTCGAGGATTGTCTTCGCGTTCGAAGAGGTCAGGAATCTTCCGCTTCTTCGTAAAATTTGCTCCAATTTGGAACTGTATTTTGGAACAGACTCGAGTTATTATTTTATTTATGAAACAAATTGGAATCCTTTGAGCTTCTTTTAAGATAAGACTCTCGTATCGAAGACATAGAAGGTAATTTAATTATTTTTAAATTTGTAATTTTGGGATCGTCAAATCACCTGTATGTCCAATTTTCTAACCTGGTCGACGCCATGCCTACCCCAAAAAGCGTTCCTGTGCACGCCAAATTAAAACTTACAATATCCATCACTCGAAACTTGGCTTATTTCAAATTAAAGTCTTCTCGGTTCTCTCGCGAAACTTCATTCCCCAACCACCATGTAAGGACTCAGAGATCGACACTCCAAGTCGGTGTATTAAAAATAAACCGAATCGAAACGATAAAAATATATCACGGATTTCGACGGACTAGCATGGTCATAGTAGATAGTGAGCACCTGGTAACCAAAAGATTAAACGGATCAAGTGGATCCAGATTAAATCGATCGTTCTTTCGGATTTCCTCGTGGTCTCGTAGTTTTCCTCGTTGCCATAGCTGTCTGCCATTCTTCCACTCGGTTTCTTCTCGTGTTTCACCGTCGTTGCTCTTCTTCACCTTCGTTCGACACGATTCTCCCTCTCTTCTTCCCGTTTAGCCGGCTGTTGCTCGTGTTCTAGCCTCCACGCAACGCGAGATTAGTTCCGCAGAGCTGGCGACGACCGTCAGCCTTGAACCAAATTGCGAGCTGTCGTTGTTTAGTTGTTTAGCTGGCGTGCACGGAGAAACCCGGCGCAGTCCGTATGGTTATTAGGCGGTTAAAGCGTTTCCGAGAGCATTTCAGAGGCTGTCGTGGAATTTTTCCTTCGGAACGTGCCGCTCTTTCGTTTTCGCACCTTGCCTCGTTAGACTTGGGCTAGTCCGGTTGCGAATTTTCTCACCAAGCCTATGTCTCGGCATCTGACGTAGAGTTTAGGTAGAGGATGGTGCAGAATTTTAAGCATAGGACGTCAGCTGATATATCGAATATAGAATAGCAACAAACGCGATATAGAGTTGGGGAATGAGACGAGTAGAGATTTAAGCCTTATCAGAGATTAACCCGCTGGCAATTCGTGAATTTTTCAAATGCTCTGGATCTCGTGGAAGGGGCTCGGGGTAATAGAACGTACGTAGACAGTGTGGAAGAATGTTGTGGAACTTCGGAACTTGGAACGACGATGACGAGGCAGGTGTCCCGAGAGCCTTCGATGTTTTTCCAGCTTACGAATTCGATGAAACACTACGATTACTTTGTAGATAATCGCCGGTTAATCCACGATTATTGGAATCGCAGTTGGCGATAATCGCGGGCAATAATTCAAAGACTGGTGGCTAGGTGGAACGACAACGGAGTATGAATATTAAAATCTTCGTTCGCTGAAATCTATCAGACTGTGGTAGCGGCACGACCTCGTCAACAGCCGGTGTACCATGATAATAACCATTGAATGCGGTTTTGTCGCATTTGAACCGCACGTTCAGCCATTGGAAAAAAGAGAAGAAAAATAGAAAAAGCGTTCTGTTTCTTGCTTTCGCTCGTGTGTGAAGTTGCTGAAGATATTAACTAACCACGTATCTGACGAATCCTCGAGAAAATTGGAAAAATACAGCGGGTAGAGGGATCTGAAATATCTCCAAATTCGAAATGATTTATTTTATCACGTAGAGAAATTTGGAAAAATCCTCAAATCCTTCGAGAGGCAATCGAAGGCTGGTAATTGCATCGCTGTTAAAAGAAGAAGTCTAAAAACCCCATTGGACGAAGGCTGCTATTATTTTATTAGAAAAAAGCAACAATTTTCGAGATTTAGCGAAAAAACGTAGACTCGACTGGGGATTCTCTGGATTATGCTACATTGTTTTCTTCTGAGAGAAACGTTGACTTCTCGAGGAATTTCTGGCATGCCGCTGATCCGCCATTGTTACACCAACCTCGCCGATCCAAGGCTACATTCACAATTGCGTAGAAATAAGCGTTTAACCCTCTGCTTGCGACGTCATACTATTTGGAAATTATCCATATATCTACATCTCTTGAACCTAGATTCCTTCGAATCCAACAACGTTAACCGTTCCATCGCTTCGTGAGATAAAACCTCTTCCCGATCCTCATTAACGCGAACCAGAGTTCAACTTTCTTTAATTTCTTCCTTACGGACACGAGAAAATTCGATCGTACGTATAGAAAATATCTTGGAAATTAAATTCGACTATCCGGAAATTGACTTAATAAATTCGACTCGCATAGAGAATTTTCGCATCGGACGATTTTAAGTTCACCGAGAAATATAGATAATTACGAATAAAAATGTAAGAAAGACAAAGAGGAACGGAGACATGGTACGTCGGGAACAATTAACGTGATCGTCGGAGGGGAAAAAAAACGCGGAAGGAACGCGGTGAAACGAGAAGAAACAGAGGAGAGAAGCTGTTAGGTCGGCTCACTATTTTTGGAGGAGCATCTCCAAGGCCGCCGACTGATCCGCGCGCTCCTCTTTTTCTTTTCTTCCACGAAGTAATTTCTGATGGCCACGGCTTCCGACATCGTGGCGGGAAAAAGGTGCAAAGAGGGCCGGTGGGACGGGGAGGAAGTGTGTCATCGCGTATTCTAAGAGGCTGGCTTCTCTATCATAGCCGAAAAAACGAAGGTAAAAGAGCCTCTTGAATGGAAGGAAACGAGAAATTATTTTTTTCTTTCTTTTTTTTTTTTTTTTTTTTTTTTTTTTTTTTTTTTTTTTTTTTTTTTTTTTTTTTTTTTTTTTTTTTTTTTTTTTTTTTTTTTTTTTTTTTTTTTTGAGAAATACCAACGACATAATGGGAGTCGTTGATAGCTAGAGAAGTTGGATTTCGTAGATCGATGATGCGATTCTCTAGTTCCTTTGAAATTTATTTCAGAACTTACGAATCTCGCGCGAATATTGCGCTTTTTTTCTGGAATTTTATGGCGATGAGATTGTTAGAGGTAAAGATCGCGGAAGTTATGCAAAGTTTAAATATCAAAGTTCAGCCGTCTCGAACGAGGTGACAGAGTTCGATAGAGAATAACGGACGAATGTTTTGCAGGAAAACAAGGCAAAGATGGACCGGAAGAGAAGAAGGACGCCGATGGAGAGCTATGGGGCAACGTGGAAGCGCAGGCCGCCTTCCTCGGCCCAAATCTCTGGGACAAAACTCTGCCTTACGATGCCGACCTGAAGGTATTGAACCATGTATGTACAAAAACGCGATACGGTAAGCTCACAAACCGGCTGAACACGGATCCTGAATATTTGGATCCGAAACTTTTTGAGAAATCTGGATTTTTGCATCTCTTCTTCTTTCCCTCTTTTTCTTCTTTTGTTCATCATCAATGAAAATCATTTCATTTCTTTCATACCTCTTACGAATTTCTTAGAAGGAATTACTCCTTGTAGAATAATTTTACGTGGTTTTACAAGTGATACTAATACATCACAGTGTCGGTAGTATCGTTAGATTAGTAGTAACAACGATGAAAGATTGAAGATTCCATCATGCATGGTTTCCCACAAACGACTCTTTTCTAGCGTCAAAAAATCTCCCGAATTGTCCAATCTAAAGACATTACAATTTTTCTCCGTCAGCTACCAATCTTAAAGACAGCGAGGCTTCACAGCCAAGTCCATCGAGCCTTAAATTTGTGAAAATCGCATCCAGCTTGGTTCCCTACAAACGATTCTTTTCTAGCATCAAAAAATCTCCCGAATTGTCCATTCTAAAGAGATTACAATTTTTCTCTGTCAGCTACCAATCTTAAAGATATCGAGTCTTTACAGCCAAAGATCAAAAGATCCACCCAATTGTGAATCCATGAAAATTGATTTCTGAGCTCGTTCTGTGGATATCCCGTTTAAGCCTGAAAATTTAAGTGGAAGAAGCACTCAACGGTTTCCATTTCTCCCTTCCTGTTTCTCTTCCCGGTTAATCTCGATGATCACGGAATGTTCGTATTAAGTAATAACGATGCTCGACTTGGTAACCGATCGAAGGACTTAATTTTTGAGCTGGAACGAGACCAAAAAGAGGATGCCCTCAACCTGTGTTGCAGTACGTGGATCTCGACGAGTTTCTCTCCGAGAACGGCATTCCAGGCCGGCGGCGGACAGGGCACGATGCAGAGCGGACAACTGCACAAGATCAACAACACCGAAACACCAGGACACCAAGGACCTGCCGGTCTTCATTTAGAACCGGTCACCAAACGCGAGAGATCACCCTCGCCGAGCGAGTGTTGCTCCCCCGACACCATGAACCCTCCCTCACCCGCGGACTCCAGTGAGTGAACATCAGCCGATTTCCTATCTTCTGCGCAATCTTCTACGTCGATCTCGGCGTCGATCCTGAGGAACTCGCGTTTACTCAGCCACGCTCGTTCACGTTTCTCGTCGATCCGGGGTGGTCGGTTCGGATAGATCCAACTATACCGATGTTAGGAAGATGTACTTAGGCAGGTGTACGTATAGACTTGGGATCTACGGCTTATACAGAGCAACTGGGAATCGAGATGCAGAAGATTCGATCGTTTTAAATATCGACGTTCGATTGTCTAAGTATAGGTCCTGTTGATAAGATCGTAAGACTTGTCAGATATGTCAGATCGCACTGGCTCCGTTGACTGGATGATCATACTCCGAATTCTGGGGAAATGAGTTTTCTAACAGACATTCGATGTCCTTTGGTTTCTGTCGTCTCTCGGAGATATCGAACCTGTCGGTGATTTAACGTAGGATTAAACATTCGGAGGATTCTTTAGTTTTCTATTGGAAAACACTGCACTTGTACGACTCGATAGATAGCATAGCAAAATGAATTTTACCGGAAGCTTGCAGCATCCACGGGAAACGTGAAATACGAGTATGCAACGGAGTCCTCGGGATTGATTCCTGCCATGGCAACGATATCTCCGAGTTCTCGGGCACCGGATGAAATTAGACTAACATCGACATTGTCGATTATTCTCTCTCCGCGCAATAGATTCCACGGACTCGTCACGAATACAATATGGCTTGTCTCTTGTAGCGCTCTCGATGGCCTCATCGGGGCGAGACTTCGATCCACGCACCCGGGCCTTCTCCGACGAGGAGCTCAAACCCCAACCGATGATCAAGAAATCACGGAAGCAGGTCAGTTGATGGTCTTCGATAATCATTCGATAAGGTCCCTCTCTCATTGGAAAATCATCGAAGATCGATAGAAAAACGAATACTTGAGAATGCAGCTAGACGTGGATTTACCTACGAAGTAATAGTAGTATAATAAATCTCTCGTGGAATGTTTAATTTCATTTTTGCAATTTTTGATATCTCGTGACTTACTTTTCCTTTAATATCCTTCGTTCAAAATGTCCTTCGATCGAGGAAAAATGAGATAATTCTCGTTGCTTCGTGAGAGATGAGATGCAACTAATTTTCTTCTTTTTATTTTCTAGAACCATATAGATATAATTTATTGCAATGCAATTCGTAACATTTAACAATCATCTTACAGTCTTTAATAGGATTTTCATTAGCCATTAAGAAACTGGGGTGCGTTTCCTTTTTTTTACCATTTCATTACGATTCGAAAATGCAGCGATCTCTGTGTTCATTCTAATTTCCTGCTCTTTTCCATGGTCCGCTACCGGTTACAGTTCGTTCCGGATGACCTGAAGGATGACAAATACTGGGCGCGTCGTAGGAAGAATAACATGGCAGCGAAACGATCACGGGATGCACGTCGCATGAAGGAGAACCAGATCGCTCTCAGGGCCGGCTTCCTCGAGAAAGAAGTAAATCTTCCCACGCCTCTAAAATTAAAGAACACACATCTAAACGGGGCTCTAATCTTTCCATCGTATCGATGGAATTGCTCGTAGATGTAGTAGATAGCCCTGTTCTATGTAAAACAAAAGTCGCTTCTGGTATCAAACACGCGTGGAACGCTATGATTCTTCCTCGAAAGAACAAACAAGTATAGCACAGAATCTGTAGAATGTCGCTTGATTCAAATTCAAAAATTAAATTTCGCACGAATAATATCTGTATCGTAAAGTAAGTCTCTACGTTGGAAGAATCATTCTGTTCTTAATTAAATAATCGTTCTGGGTAAAAGCAAGTTTGAAACGAGAAACGAGAAAACGTTCTGTCTCCAATCGAGTTACGACACGCGCTACACGTGCGATTCTAATTACAGTGGTAATTTCACGGGACTAAAATGCAAAATTTTCAGAATATGGGCCTACGGCAGGAACTGGACCGGTTAAAGAACGAGAACATGCTGCTACGTGACAAGCTGAGCAAATACACGGACGTCTAACAGTACGCCGGGCAAGCAACAGCTCGTCGTGGTATTAAAAAAGATGCAGACACGAGCGTTTGTTGTGCCAGCTCCTCCCACACACTATAGTCGCAGCACTTAGGTTTTTCGCCGTTCGGATGAAAGAATAAAAAAAAGAAAAAATTAAAAAAAAGAAGATGAAGAAGAAGAAGAAAAAGAAGAAGGAAAGGAAGGAGCGCGCCGAATCGCAAGACCATTCTCGACAAATTCGAACCAGCCCACCCTTTTCCTAGAGGATCCTGAGGTTATCCTTCGACGAACTTCTGTTATTCATCCATCTTTTCCTCTTCTTTCCTCCCCTCTTCACACGCTCATAACATACACAAAATGTATACACACATATTTCTTTCAATCCATTCCCCCTGGTCCATCCTGTGCTCCTTTCTCCCCTTGAATTTTCACCTCCCCCCCCTCAAAAAAGTGTACATAGTTATATGTATAGTTAGATTATATATGTATACATACATACATACACGGCCGTGTGTATGTCTGTCTGTAAGTGTGACTCTGTGCGCGCGTGTACACGCGCGACCGCATGCACACGTGTATGTATTTATACGCGTATATACCAAGAGGTATATTAACCAATCGGGTATATCAATCCGCTGCAACGCATTATCGAGCATTATATGTATAAATATATATACAAGAAACGCGTACGTATATATCTATATACATAAAGAGACATAAGCATACACGTATACACGCGGAGCCGCAGATCGTGGAATCGTCAGTGTGCGTGTCAGATGAATAATGTATAAACGGCGTGTACAGGTATTCTCCCCGGAACACTTTGAAACTTTTCCTTTAGACATTACGAGCACGTTAATCACTCGATGAACACTGTCTGTTAATTGCCTTATTGAGAGATTCAATGGTGATTCTGTGCTTCTTTAAAATAAGAGACGAATCGTTAATTTTACGTAACCAGAAGGATTTGAGTGAATTAGGTAGCCAAGAAAATTCGAATGATGAATATTCCGAATATATTAATAATCAGAAGTATGTGGGAATCCGAAAGTAAGAGTATCCGAATCACGAGTCGAATTAAATCGAATCGCGCGAGATTCTGAAAGTTTAACCAACGCATAAGTTTGTTTGTATTTTCAGAACGAAATTCTTAATTCAGGCGAACCGAGTTTCGAATGAAAAATTTTATCCCCAGTGTGTACGAGCACAGTCACGTGCGAACAAATTTATGTATTAGACAAGATTTCGAGTACCGCTCAGCCTAAATCGATAAATATTCAATTCGATACGACTGATATTTTCGAGAAATCCCACAGCACTAAGATTATTAGTAATTAATTCATTTATTTTTTAAAAACATACGTGTCATACTTAAGTTCATAAACGCCAAAACCGAACCAATTAAAATTAAATCTAATATAAGGAAAGTTCTTTCCATCGAAAAGCGATCGAGTAAACGAATGAATTATTTAATTAAGAAGCTCCTGACTGGTATACTGTAACAAAAAGGTTTGAATTTATTCGAATGAAATTAAAGGAAAAGTGATCAGCATGATGTATCAGGAGAAGTGTCTCAACTGTAAACATCTGGTACGCACACGTTAACCGCCTCATAAACCGGGCTGGAGCTGATTAGAGTAATAAGTGAAAGATGTACGAGTACGTAAGCACAGACAGACGCGCGTATAAATGATCAATAGTTGAAAAAGATGGCCGCGAGCGGTCCTTAAGCGGCTGTTTAATCACGCGCTGACTCTCGAGCTTCTATTTGGCTCTTGTACAATATGACCCACAGATCTGATTGCGGATAGATTCTTGATCTAACGTTCTTCCCTTTAATTTGACACTTAAAAAGCCTGGAATGTCGATCTTAAGGTTCCTCGATGACATCTAAATCGATTAAGTACAATAACTATCATTATTGTACCTCGACGTGGTCCTGCACCTGGTCTCGTTTGATAGATTATCCAGCGAATTCTGTATCAATTATAACATTCTTTAATGGAATTGTAATATTAGAAAACTAGAGAACAACGGAAAATAAAAGAATATCCGTAATCGATCATTTGTTAAAAAACGGGGAAAAAAAGAAGAAGAGTAAATTACGAACGAAGGATACTTGGGAGAACGACGCTTTTCTGCGCACGGACTAGGTCCTAGTTCTCTAAGAAACGTTAATTACTGTAGCGTATCCCACAAGTGGTGATGGTACACACACAAGTGATTCTAGTTGTTTTTATCATAAGGTAGAGATCAAGTGCTTCTTTTTTTTCATACATAATGTTTTAATCTCTCTCTTCTGTGTAACGTTTCGTTTTTTAAGCGCTCGATTGTATGCCAGTTGATGAATCGCTCGAAGAAGATTTTCATTCACTCATTGCTTTTTTTTTATGTTTCTTGTTATTTGTAAATATTTTTGATAAATACCACCGTACTATTAGTTTTTTATTGCAAGATATGATTGCGTAAATCAAAATTCTTAGAGAATTATATATAACGACCATGATCATTCTTGAAAAAAATTAAGATTACTTTTTTATTGAGAGTAGAAGCAATCGAATTCGTAAGTTCCATTGTTAATGACGCCACGACAAGGGTTACACATACGGTCATTGAAATAAATTGTGCATTAAAAGGGCTACCCTTAGGACAAGAACAAATAATGTATATCTCTGTCCGTAGTTGCTTCCTTTTGTCTGACAAAGAAAAAAAAAGAAAACAAATTCGAAGGAAAAAGTAATCATGAGCAAAGCCCACTCATGCGCCTTTCATGGATAATTCACATGCGACTAATACTTTACGTACTGTTGATGCGCTAAATAATAAGCGATTCTGCTCGTTGCAACGCTCAGAGACAATAATTGAGTATAATTATTATATACACGTGTTTTTTAGCACTTTTTGCGACGTGAAATCGGCATTATGAGTATGTTCCCGATAGAACTTTTTTATATTGCGCCTATTATTCATCCTTTACATTATTGATTTATTATTTTTATCATTTTCGATCAGTTCTTTTGACCCTTGACAACACGAATTCACAAAGAGCTTATAATACATATGATACGTATATGATACATTATTATCATATATACGTGTATATTTATAGACATATACAAAAAATTAATTTTATAGGAGGCTTTGTCAATGACAGATTCGCTTCTAAACCGCCAGTTTTTTATACAGCAATTATATTTTAGTCAAAGTACATACTCTGTACATTTGTTTCTTTACTATTGTGACCATGCGTTGAAACTTCATAGAACCAACTGTACTTTATGATTGTAAATTTTAGTTGGATACAACGTCCATGTATAATTAATCGTCTCGACGTTATGAAAATTGTTTTATGCCTTGTTATCATATACATATATTTTTTCTTTTTTTGCCAAGATTTTATGCACGTTGTATAATATGAAATTTTTGTGTAGTTGATAGTTTGTACGCGGGTGAATCTCGTATTGCATAACGCAAATTGCTTTTTCAATTTAGACTCAAAATTCAATAGTAAAAAGATAGCGAGAAGCGACTGGAAAATTCGTTTGGACTTATCTTTTTACTTGTCTCTGCGAACAAATGAAAGGCAAAAATAAAAAAAAGCGATTCGTGAATGCTGCAGTTCAGTACATTGTGAACTCTATATGTGAGAAACGTGACAGAACAAGCTGATATATGTAGATACGATTAACGAAACGATATGATCTATGGAGCATCTCCGCACTCATTGTTCAACTTGATCGCGTACAGAAAAATAAACAAAACTCATTAACTCGATAGATCATAGTACATGATGCAGCTATATGAAAGCTATTGAAACGTGATTAATAATAATAACGGGCAGTAATAATGGGTAGAATTCAAATTCAATTCACATAAGCGAACAAGAAGTCTTTCGTATCTCATAACCTCGATTAATAGCTTTTAATGAAACCGCAAATAAAGCCAGGCATTTTTCTTTTCTGAATGTTATAACCTCATGCAATGACAGTCGTCCAATGATGTAAAAGGGAAAGCAGGAAAATCGAGAAAGAAATAAGCACTCGTTCACGTTTCTCGAAGATCGATATTTGTATAAGTACCTTCTAGTACAAGTTGCTATTAATTAAACTACGTCGTAGCTTTCTAAGTGGCCGGTCTTGGATCTCGGCACAGTTTTCAAACAGTGACAAAACGTGGAAGCGCAATAGTGTTTGTTGGTTACGTAAACAAAAATGCAAAAAAAGAAACCAGATGCACGTGCACAAGCATGTGCGCGCGCATATGTGCGGCTCGCGTGCGCGGTACACTGCAGTCCGAGGATAGTGAAGCAAAAAGAAAAAAATAAAGAGAAAAAAATGTCGTAAAAGGAGAAATCGTAGAAAAAAATTAGACAACACGTTAGACGCAACTGACAGCTTTACTCCAATTAGAATTTAACGACGATGACAAAACGAAAGAAAAAGTGAAAAAGCAAAAAAAAAAAGCAACATAATGGGAAGAGTTTAGATAACGTCGCCGCGTCCATTTAATGACACGCCATCCGATCCATTTGAAACGAAAACAAAAAAAAAAAAACAGTACACGCGAGAATTAAAATACGACCACCAACGTCAAAGTGTATCACATTTCGAGAAATATATGTATTTGTTATTGTTTTCATTGAATTATATTGTTATACCTGATCTTATATCCTGCAATTAATCGTACTTCATTTTGCTCGCATCAATCTTGGAATTACAAAATACTTGTCAAAAGATCAGCGAAATCAATTTTAAAACAACTCACATAACTAGTGAGCAATAACTTTTTATTTGTACACGATACATTATAATTGAATCCTATAATTATAGTTTAAATTACTTTAAAATCAGTTCTCCAATCTACCAAAACTATATTTTTATTTAAAAAAAATGAATATGTAATTCTAAAAATGATGATTTTATTTTTTCATTAAATGTGATATTCAAGAACGTATCTTTTTCAATTATTTTCTGGGAGTTACAAATGCCAGCTATAACTTTATACCATTTTATTTATTATTTAATATTTATTTAATATTATGAGAATTAAAGAGAAAAAGCATTTAAATAATTTATTTTTGAATAGCATGAAAATGGAAAAGCTTGAGTAATCACAAATTAATTGACTAAAACACTACGTGGTATAATTACTCGTAATTAATTAATTAGGAAAAAATTAATATTCAAAATTATATTAAAAAGTTCGTAAAGGATGCGCCTTTACGATGCAGTTGTAAAAGTCCATAAATTAATCTCAGAAATTTAATTAATTTTCTAATACCAAATGGTAATTCAGACGATAACGATTAACACCATCTATGATTTTGGACCAGAAGCTCAGAAAAGTAATAGGAATACAGAATGTGCAAGGAGGTCGCTAAACCTCGTCACGTGATAGAGAAGGACAGCAAGCGGTTGGAGAAGGATAGCAAGGACGCGACAGTGAAAAATCACAAATTTCCAAGTTTCCGTAATTAATTTATGAACTTTTGTAATTGCATCGGAAAGCTGAAACTTCGAGCAACATTCTTATGTATTTTTGGTACATAATTTCACGCGAATTAGTTAGTTATTAATTTTTCCTTGATGGCGTCCGTGATTTGATATCAACGATCGGCATGGTTGTCCAATAAAATAATTAATTATGGACAAAACGAGAAGTAAAATGTGATCAAAAGTAATATGAGAAAATGCGCAAGAATATTGTTTTTATAATGCGTGCATGAAGTTTCATAAATTAATTGCCTAAAAAATAGTAATTAGTGACAAACTATTAGTTTCTCCGGCATCAATTCAAACATTATGTAGAATAATTATCCGTAATTAATTAATCAGGAAGAAATTAATATCCAAATATATATTGGAAAGTTCGTAGAGGATCTGTCTTTACGATGCAATTATAAAAGTTTATAAATTAATCACAGAAATCGAGTAATCTTTTAATTTTCCACTGCCAAATTGATTTATTACAAATGTATCGGAGGCACATAACCAAAGTTAGTAAACTGTTCGAGTGATATCAGTGCCATCTATGATTTTAAACTCGAAGCTCAAGTTCTCCAACGGGAACATAGATGGCGCCAGATGCTTGTTCCAATGAACTCTTCGCACATTCTGTGTTCCTATTAGCGAACCCGATCTCAGAGTCCAAAATCATATATATCACTGACAGGAACATAAATTTCCAATTCAGAATCACAAGTGGCGTTGATCAAAACTTATTTGGTATATTATCTTTGTCTAACTTATCGATTGATTTAACGTCAAATAAAAAAAATTCATATTTGTTTAAAATCAATATCTCGGAAAACAAAAAGGAATTATATAAAATTTTCAAGATGTGAATATCTTAAACTTTCTTTATAATGTAGATAAAATATATGTAATTAAAATGAAAGCAGATATTATACTAGGTATTACACTATTATATTATATAATCTATATAAAGACTATAGTACTAGTAATGTTGAAAATATATGAAATAAATTTTTAATATATATGTCTTTTGTTTTAATAAATACTATATTGTAAATTTATAACTTTATGTAGTTACTATATACATTGTTTAACTTAAATGACTAATATCGCATTTCTTAAATGATGGGATTAAATTATATTTATGATCTTATAACAAAATTTAACTTTTTTAAAAATACAATTTCGTAATCCATTATACAAACATATACATGTTACAATTATATTATAAGACTACACATTATATAAATCTTATTTGTATATTAAAGCACAATGAAGTTTATATTTTACTCTTTTTAATAGGAATAAAATTAAAATTGTGAAAATTTCAAGTTTTGCTTGTTTGATCACCAATATCTAATAACAAGAATATTATTTAAATATTTGATTACTTCTTCTCACATTTAGTACATTATTTATTTTTACTAAATTTCATTACTTCATTCAGTTGCTTAACTTTAATGTATTATATTATTTTATTATCATTATAGATTATTATGTTTCTCAAGTATTTATATGGTATCCTCACAGATTTGTCACTGTTTTAATATTTGTCAAATTTTTTATATTCCTTGCATCAAGTGAGCTTATTTCTGAAAAACTTATAACAAAATTACTGTATTTTATAATTAAAAAGGAAAATTAAAAAGAGAAAAATAGAACAAAAAAGTAGTGAGCGAATGCTCAAATTTATTTTATTAAGAGCAATAAATTTGTACAGAATGTTTAGGCGATACTGCTAGCATTGGAGGCAATCCTGGGCCACAAATCCGCACATTCTTTTGCAACAGGTCCTGTAATAGCTGATCCTTTCATTTCACCTTTATTATTCACAATAACTCCTGCATTGTCTTCAAAGTATATAAACACTCCATCCTTCCTTCGAAAAGGTTTTCGTTGCCGTATTACCACTGCAGGCATAACTACAAAAAGCAATTAAAAAATATTATCAATATTGCGAATAATATGAATTATATGCTCAATAATTAGCAAGAATATAAAATGGAAATTTATATCTCTGAATGGCAGAATAATTTGATAAAAATTATTTTTAGTTATTTCTAATAAGAATTTTTAAAGAAATTCTATATAATTAATCTCTAAAAAATTGCTTTTATAAAAGAATTTATTATTTCATGATGTAAACAGTATACAAATTAATATTATTAACTGTCCAAGTTAATAATAAAAAATGTTCAAATCTACTTATTTTTTGATATGTATATTGTAATAACAAAATGACTACAATTACCCTTTTTTCTAAGTTCTGGCTTCCCTTTTTTGACAGTAGCAACTATCATATCACCTGATCCTGCAGCTGGCAAACGATTTAACCTGCCTTTAATTCCTTGAACTGCGATGACATATAAATTTTTGGCTCCTATAAAAAAAATTGATATTACAATTGCAATATACTCTGTATATCTAACGAAATCTATAAACTTTTACATAAACTTTGGTCATATATTCAATTATACTTGTATTTTAGTTTATAATCCTATCATTTTTTTTATTTAAAAATTTAGCTACTGAATGTAAGACATTTTGTCATGGCATTAATGGAAGATTATATAATTTCTATTACAGTTTCTTCTTTATTCTTCGAATAAGCAATTTAATTACTGACAATATTTACTCACATGAAGAACAATTACAAAGTCCATTTATAATTAGTATATTATATGAAAGAGTTTTAATAATAATAGGTAAACAATTTCTAATATTCGAAATTAAAATTATTGTATAAGAAATATAAGAAAAATTTGAATGACAACTATAAGCCATGTGTTACTTTTATTCATAACATAATCAGTTTTCCTAGGTTAAGTGTTATTTTTACAACTTTTCCAAATACTTACCAGTATTATCGGCACAATTTATAACTGCACCAACTGGTAAGCCCAGTGATATCCTAAATTTTGCTCCCGCTGAACCACCACGTCCTTAAAAAATAATAATTTCATGTTAATTGTTACCATTTATGAACACATCTAACGCGGTATTTCTGTTCAATACAATCATCGATTTTTCCAGATTCCATTGTTATTAGAAAAAAATTATTTCTGCAGCTGTATATTGTAAAGATTCATTCAACGTTCGTATACGTCCTTTCGAATCGATAGCTCATGTTTAGGTGGATTTCTTTGGATTTTCTTTCGTCTTCAAAAACAACTTACCTCTCTTCGACATCTTGTTGTGTTTGAAAGAGAAAGAGACTGCTGTTTACCGCGCATTAGTCTGCGCAATCTTGAATTGCTTCCGACGCGGAAACACTTGTAATATTTAAATTAATTCTTCTTTAAAAAATTATTATAATATTTTAGACATTTAAAAAAGATGAATATTGAAATTCTAATATTCTCTTCTTAATATATTCATAATAAATATTTCATATTATATTTAATTGTATCTATTAAAAATATGAAAATTTGTACTCAGGAAAACAAAATTTTATTCCAAACATATATATTTTCAATAATAATAGTAAAACATCTTAACAAGTTTATAATTTATATTGTTAGTTATTGCTAACTTATAATTCTATCATTTTCATTCTAAATTACGCTGCAAATTCGTCTTAATTTTTTTTCTTTTCTATATATATATAATTATACGAACAATTATAAATTTATTGTATCTTTTTTAAATAAGTGTATAATATTGTTAATACATGTATACTGTATACAAATTTTTTATCCAATCTAGTCAAAAATTGATATGCATTAATGTTAACAGTAATCTAACTACATAAATATTTGACATAATAAAATTATTTAATAACTATTTAATTATAATGTAACTATTCAAAGAATAATATAGTATATTATCAAATATTAATACACTAACTTTTACTATAAAAAAAAATCGGAAGAAAAATTTCCTTCACCACCAGCACTCCCTTATTTTATCATTTGATAAGGTTGGAAATAGTATAAAGAAATTAAATTACACTTCGTTATTAGTATCATATTTATTCAGATAAGATGCCTTCTCCTCTGTTAGCAGATTTTATTAATTTAGAATTAGAAGGTAATTTTTAAAACTTCAATTCAATTCATACTTTAAGATAAAATTTTAATTTCCTTGAAACTTAACCTTATCTTTAGAATATGTATATGCTATTTATTTTCTTCTGGATGTACGTATGTATAATGATTAAATTTTCACGTAAGAAATTATTTTCTTTATTTGTAAAACACTATTCAATTTATTACTTCTTTTTTTTTTTATTGTATAAGATTCTCATAAATATGGAAGAACAAAATTTGATGTGATTACAGTTTCAAAAAATAATGTTTATTTTTGTTTAGCTCAAGAGTTATGGCCTCAACAAATTACCTTGTATCAACCACATGAAGTTGAGCAAATATTATTACCTGACAATGCAAATTGTTTAGCTGTACAAGCTTTCCTCAAAATGTGTGATCTTGATTTTCAAGTAGAACCAAGAAGAAATGCAGAATATATGTCTCCATCTGGTCGTGTACCGTTTATCAAATGTGGAGCATTTTTAATACCTGAATTTGACAATATTGTGACATTCATAGGAAATAAGGGCAAGAGTTTATCAGATCATTTATCTCCAGAATGCAAAACAGATATGAGAGTATATATGTCATTAGTGAATACTGTTCTTGTAAATGCTGAATTATACATTTGTTGGGTTGATGAATCTACTTTAAACGAAGTAACTAAAGTAAGACATGGGAGTGTATATCCTTGGCCATTAAATCATTTTCTAAATTGGCAAAAAAGAAATGAGGTCATAAAGAGACTCAGTATATTTGGTTGGTACAATAAAACCATAGAAGAAGTATGCATTGATGTTAAAAATTGTTGTACAGCATTATCTGATAGATTAGAGGGTAATGATTATTTCTCTGGAGAAACGTAAGTAAATTATTGATATAAATTGCTATGAACAATTTAACATATTTTTTATTATCAAATTATTACAATTAGCATTAAAAACATTTCATATTTACTCAAAATATAACTTTTATTATTGATAAGAATGCATTATATTTACAATTGTTTGTTTTGAATTTAAAAATAGGCCTACTGAACTAGATGCTCTTATGTATGGTCACATAAATGCCCTGTCTTCAATCAATCCTTCTCTTCCTCCTACTGTTCAAGAAATTGTTACAACTATACTAGAATTTCCGAAACTTCTTAAACATGCCTCAAGAATTGAACAGAATTACTTAAATAGCACTGTGATTGAAATTCCCACTTGTGATTCTGAAATTTGCACATCTCCTTCTGAAGAAACCTTATGGAATTATTCTGAATCAAGCATTGAATCATTACCACCACTTTCAGAAGATTCTTTTGAACTCCTTTTTTTGAATCCTTGAATCCTTTTAATATTTACTATATTTGTTGTCATAATTTAAGTGAATGAAATATATTTATTTATTTAACTGACTGATTCATAGTTGACCATTTTTTATTTGATTGTATTTAGGACACCTAATGAATTGGATGCCTTAGTCTTTGGACATATTTTTACAATAATCACTACACCACTACCTGGTAATAAATTGGCAAATATTGTCCAGGACTACCCACTGCTTGTGCATCTCTGCATACGCATTGAAAATAGGTATTTCCGGCGTTCGGAAGATTAGGTAGAATTTTCCTCGGGTTCTAGATACGTCAAAATTATGTATTCTGATTATACTGATATGAAATTTTTGTGCTATGCTCGCTCCCTTAACAATGAAGAAAGTAAAAATTTAAGAACAAACGTATGTAATATTTCGTAAATAATTATTTAAAGAAAAATGAATTTTTTTACATTATTCAAGCAAGTATATGAATTATGTTTCGAATAATTTCATTATGCTATTATGGTGTATATATATATATTTTACAAGTTATGGTAAACAAATGTTCAATGTATCTGAAGCCCGAGTCGGAGAACTGTAAAATAGTAAGTTGCATAGAAAATAAAAAAAAAAAGTATTGGTAGTTAACTTGTAGTTGTTAAATATACAAATTACATAATTGTTGAATATAAAATACCGTTAAATGTATTGTTTTAAATACATAATACTGCACGTGACATTTTTCAGCATTTTTTCTCCTCAAGCTATAGGGGTGAAATAAAGTAACAAAATGTTGGAGGCGAGAATTAAGTAATACGACATTGGAGATTTCCAGATTCTTGGAAAACGACAGGAATGCATAACCAATAAAAGGTATTCGCAAACTAGATGTTTTACAAAAATATTTATCATATATTATTGAAAACGATTATGTTAAATGATCGTTGTTTATTTTTATGAGAATGATTATTCTCAGTGTACCTGTTATCGGCATTTATTTTTAATTTAATTAAATTTAATTTAATTAAATCACGGAAAAAGTATGTACAATAACAACTATTCTGATGGTAAGTATAACTATATGACGTTAATTGACGATAAGTACCTTTTTATTCATAGAAATTATATATGTATATATATATTTAACATAGCTAACATCTTGTATTTTGTATTTTAAATAATTTATCCATCCTTTTTTTGCAATTTTATTTTCATTTAATATTTTTATTAACTATCTGAACTAATTTATACTTGTGTGTAAAAATATATATATATCATTACTAATGTGCATTGACTTTTTCAATGCGCATTAATATTATGTAAATGTCTTTTAGACAATATCATAAAGTTTTACTTTTCTAGTCAATTTATTATAACTTATTTTTCGTGTAAAGTTGTAAGACATTCTTAGATATTGTGTATAAAATAATATAAAATGTATAACATTTAAATTAAATGTAAAATGCAAATTATGTTCAAATTAAAATTTTTATTTTTTATCTCAGTTAAAAGATGAATAATTAATACCAAATATAAAATCGTAAATTATCCTCTGCAACTGTGATAATATGTCTGTTACATATTTCTTGTCTCCAGCGTTTAGTTACAGTAAATACATACTAATTATATTTACCTTCAAATTTTTTATTAAAATCTATATACTTCATAAAATGTAAATTCTAATTTGTTTCAAAGTATTGTTTGTATTTTAATACTTTTACATATAGGAATATCATTAAATAAACAGTGTTTATCTCCTTACCACAACAATTTATATCTGAATATATTCATTCTTTAGTGACAAATAAAAGAATAAATAATATAAAGACTTATTGCATAAGTAACAAGCATGTATTTTCCTCGGCTCCCTACTATTATTACTTTTGTTTTTTTAATAGTATCTTTCAATAACAAATACTATGTGAAAGTTACTATTATAATATGCGTGGAGATACAGTTTTAATATTCTAACAGAAAATATAAGTGGTTCAAAGTTGTTCATTAAAATTAAAAAAAAACTATTACTTTGAAAAAAAGATACATACAATAATTTATAATAAAATTGTAACAATGAAATTATTTTCATTATCGCGCAATGCATTAAAATAATCATCTCAATTGAGTTTCGTTTTATAAATTTATATTACACTTTAACTTCTTAAAAGAATTCAAAGAAAAAGAATTTAATACAAAAAACTCTAATAGTTTTACATTTCTTCGTAATATTGATCTCATACATCTGTAAATTCGTGATGTGAAATGCGCATACAATCTTGAAGTATAGTAAACACTACAAGATATAACATATTTATGGTTTTACTAAATTGTGTCGTTTCGATATAAATTTCTGGCTATGACTTATACACGCAATTCTATAATTTTATTAGATATAGCAGGATATAACGATACAGTTGTCACACGCACGCTTATACAGATACGTACACATCAACATGTACTCGTAATTAAAAAATTATGAATATATATGTATGCACTCAAAGAATATGTAATCTACACTGATTTATACTTGCAGTGCTCAATTGAAAAGTTTAAACGTTCATACTTTTAATGTACCGATTAAAGATAATCAGCTTGAGATCATATTTATTTATAACTAAACTTGGATAGAAGACAATGTAATGGGTATCCCAAAATTCACGCAAAATTTGAATTTTGCGCCATTTGTGCGGTAGTGTTGTCAATGAAAAAATAAAGACAGCGTGACAGCTGACAGTTCAGAATTATTAAAAATGAAGCGCTACACGAAAAAACAACGCGTCTTCATTGTTGAGCAATATTTTAAAAGTAATGAAGGTTTGGCAGCTACAGTTCGCAATTTTCATACAAAATATGGTGGAATTAGTGATTTAACTTCACCAATTGTAAAGAAATTAATTAAAAAATTCAGGGAGGCTGGATCAATTAGTGATCTTAGACATTCTGGCCGTCCTTCAACAAGTCGTTCAACACAAAATATCGAAGCAGTTCGTGAGAGTGCTGCTAAGAATCCAAGAATATCAATTCGGCACCGTAGTCAAGAACTGGACATTTCGAAAAGCTCTCTACAGCGTATTCTTATGAAAGATCTGCATCTTCCTATTTACAAAGTTGAATTAACTCAAGAACTGAAGTCTACTGACCACGCACAGTCAAGAGAGTTCATTGAATGGATTGCAAAACAAGTGAATGCTGATTTTTCGAACAAAATCATCTTCAGTGATGAAGCTCATTTTCATCTTGATGGCTTCGTTATTCGTCAAAATTGTCGTATTTGAGGTTCAGAAAATCCACGAGTAATTGTTAAGAAACAAATACATTCATAACGTGTCATTGTTTGGTGCGGATTTTGGGCTGGAAGCATCATTGGACCATTCTTTTTCAAAAATGTGGCTCGTAAGACAATAACAGTTAATGGTGCTCGCTATCGCGACATGATAATCCAGTTTTTTGTGCCTAAAACACCAGGTTTCAACAAGACTGTAACACATGCCATACAGCCCAAGAAACAATTCAATTACTGCATGAGTCATTTCTTGGTCGTGTAATTTCCCATTTTGGTGATCAGAATTGACTGCCCAGATCATGCGATTTAACGCCATTGGATTTTTTCTTTGGGGTTTTTTGAAGTCTAAGATTTATGCCAATAAGCCAACGATTATGTACGCCTTGAAGGAAGAAATAGAGCACTGTATCAACGAAATTCAACCACATTTATGTAAAACGGTCATGGAAAATTTTGACAAAAGAGTGCGTATGTACCAGCAAAGTCGTGGAGACCACTTATCTGATATGCTATTCCACATATAACCCTATACTGTATACTTTATAAATCAATAAAAAATTTACAATTTTTAATGAAAAACCTGTATCTTCTATCAAAATTACTTTTTGCGTGAATTTTGGAACACCCAATATCTGTTCACAATGCTAAGTATGGATATCTATACAGTTAAAAATATTAAAAATTTAATATTATTTGCAAAATAACAACTACAGATAATAATCATTTGCTCTAGTTCAAAATTTATAAGATATTATTTTACCGAAAGCTGAATAACTTGTGCGAGAATGTTTACCAAAAAATAATAAGTCTGAAACAGTTAACTATAATTGTATTTAATGTAAAGTATTTTTGTAAAGTACAAGTTCAATATTTCTATTTTTTTTCTTCTTTTTTTTCTTTTTTTCTTTTTTTTTAAACTTGTTAATGGGTACGATTTTTATTATGTATGGACTATGCACAGAAATAAAAACAGGTGAAAACGGAAGTTGCTTAATAATGGAAGTTTGTATTTTATTCACCTATATTTATTCTATCAGTATATTTTGTTTCTATTCAATAAACTTACTATTTTTTGGAACAAATAATTGAATTAACTATTGCAATAATCTCATCACGTGAATGATATTAGGTTTCTGCTTAACTTACTTTATGTTTGGATAAATGTATTAAATTGCATACCTCTGCATATAATGAATAATGTGATTAATTTTATAATGAAACTGTATTATTAAAAAAAAAAAAAAAAAAAAAAAAATTAATTTTTAGCAGCT